GAGCCAGCATTCCTCATGGCTCGAATAACACCGGTACTGTCCGGTATTGGGGGGTTGCCATTGCAAGGTGGATTAGCAAGCCCCTGTCCCCAGTTCTCTTAAAAGCTGACCTATCACTCCTACTGGATCCCATAGCAAAGGGCCGAGGGAGCCCATCTGTAGGCAAGGGGGACGCTGAAGTTCTGCTCAGTTTCTGACATGGTTCTGTGTCCACAGAGGCTGGGGAAGAGCATAAGATGGAAAGTAGGCAGCCTAAAGAGTCCTCTCTCGGTCAGTGCTTTCTCTGGGCCTTTTGATTTCCGGCTGTCATTTGACTATGCTATACATTTAGCTCCCACCTGACGGGCTCTCTGGGATGCCCTGGGTCACATGAGTTAGTGATGCCATCAGAGCCTAAGGAGACATCAAACTTGTGGGAGAGGACTGAGGAGACAGCGGCTCACATCTGCCACACACAGGAGGGGTATTCAGGGTGAGGGGACAGGTATATAGGGCGGGGCTAAGGAGGGAAGGGAGGCCGGAGTACTGAGTGGTAGGGGCAGGCTGGAAGGCTAACCTTTCTGGGGGAACTGAACCTGGGAGTTTTATGAGGGGGAGGCTGAAGGGAAGTTAGAGTTCCATAGCACGCAGCCAGGTTTATAGCCGAGGTCTCTGGAAGGGTGGAGGGAGTCCCGGGAGAGCCTGAGCCTGAAGTGTTTCTGTGTGGTGATGAGGGTCCATAGGAAGCTAGTCACTGTGTGAGGGAGAGGGCCTGTCCAGGGTAGAGCCTGCTTCCCTAAGGCGCCGGAAACTCAGGTCCCAGGAACAATGAAGAAGGAAAGTTGCTGGTCAGCCCACTTCTACAAGTAGGGATGTAGAGCAGGGAACCCTGGGAAAGTGATTTATCTATTACCACTTTCTTACATATGTTTACTTTTGAGACTGAGTTGCTAAGAATAGGCCCAATGTCTACTTCCCATTGAGTGGTCAGGTACAGTGATTTTGAGTCCTTATCTTGTCCGGGTGAGAGAGCAGGGTGGGACACTTGGAAACAGTGACCCCAGCTTGTTGGCCCAGCCACATGGTCTAAGGCTAACCACAGAAAAAGTTCCAGGAGTCCAGTTGAAGCCATGATAAACTACAAGGCCACTAACTACCAGCTTGGGTCCAACCTGGCTGTTTAGTTGGGGCTGGGGTCCAACCTGGCTGTTTCCCATGGTATAGGCAAACAAGAAGACACATTTTGACTCCCCTCAGCCCTCAGGCCCATCAACTCTGAGGTGTCTCATTGTCTACCAAATGTCCAGACACTTCTGTGTCCTCATCCATCCTTCCAAAGACCCTCTGAGTCATCTGTGAACTATTTCCTGTTTGGAGGGTGGAGGTGGCTCCCAGAGTTTGCATTTAAAAAAAAAGTGATCTCTGGAGAGATCTGGTCAAGTCAGGAGACAGGGCTGAGGCACTGGGTCTTTCTGGCTCCTCCCTAGGGAAAGCCATCTGTGTCTACCTATCAGTACACCGCTGCAACCCTGTGCTGGCACGGTGCCAGGTACCAGCAAGGTACTGAGCAGAGAGGGTAAATGAGGATGGCCGGGTACTCCCTTCTTGGTGGAGCCAAGCAGCCTTCCCAGGAGTTAGAGTACAAGGTACCTTTAGCCCTATTTCCTCACTTCAGAGGGATCCCAGCCTAAGTGTGGTCCAAAAACTTCCCCTAGCCGTGGTGGCAAATGTGGCATGGGATAGTTAGGGAGAGAGGAGTGATGCAGAGATACAATCCAGGGTAACAGGTGCAGAATCTTGTAGCAACTCATCGTTCAAAGGGTACGGGCTCTGAGCTTGGCGGCGTGGCCAAATGATTGAATTGAAAGGATTCTGAGCTAGGTGTGGTGGCCTATGTCTTTAATCCCAGCACTCAGAAGGCAGAAGCAAGTGGAACTTGGAGTTTGAGGCCAGCCTGGTCTACATAGCAGGTCCCAAGTCGGCAGAGGCTACACAGTAAGACCATGTCTCAAAAAAGGGTAAGAGCATTCCAACTGTAATTGAGAATATATGTATATGGGTGTGAGAACAAAGCTATGTGCGTGGCCGGGGGCCATAACTCCATCCACTGGCACTGTGACTGGGGAGGGACAAGGTCAGAGAAGCACCACCAGAACAGACTCCAAGCCAAGTGTTCCCCTCTAAGCCTCAGCTCCCCTCAGGGTCTGCTCAAACTCTGCCTTGCCTTGGCCTCTTGGCTGCACGTCCGAGATGTGTGCTCTTTGGCTCTCAGGCTCTTCTCTGGAGGCCCAGTTCTAACAGTGGACTGATGCAGGGAGCTCAGGACTCAGGCAATTATTGCTCTCCCTGCCCTGCTTATCATGCTTGGTATGGTGGTGAGCTGACTTGTGTTGCCCTCCCCCTCCCCCAGAACCGTATGTTGATATCCTAACCTGTAGTACCTGTAAATGAGACAACACTTGAAAACTATATATATGCATATATATGTGTGTGTATATAATATATGCAATATATACTCCATATAATATATAAGTAATAAAGAGTACATAATACGATATAATCACCTTAAAATGAAGTCATATCGGATATGCTTCAGTCCAATGACTGGTGCCCTTATGAAGCCAGGGAAACCTGGGCACAGTCATGCTGGAGCGGCTGTGTGAAGACAGTTTCAATTGAAGCTATATTGCTGCAAGATAAGTTACATCAAGGACTTCCAGATAACACTGCAGCCAGGAAGAGTCGTAGGGATCGTCTCCACCTAGACCATCCCTTCCGTGAGCCATCAGCCAGAGCACATCCCCTCTAAATCCTTTGGTTTCAGATTTTTAACCTCCAGATGTGAGACCCAAATTTCCTGTTGTTTCCAGGTGCCCCCTCGTCCGTGGTGTTTTCTTTAGGGCACTCCTGGAAAGCAACCTGCCCATGACAATTTTTATTGGCTCGATTTGTCAAAGCCACTTTGACTACCTTTTTGGCTCTTGCCGGAGTCCTGCCTTGTGCCAAGGTCACTGCAACTGTCCCATCTCCCACACTGAAGCCACCACTGTGACTCCCTGAGCCCCTGGCTAAGACTTTGGGCCTGTTCTATATGTCCCAGGGAGTTTAGATTCATGCATGAAGCCCCTTGCTGTTCTCCCTATCCTGGTGGCATTAAGGGCAACAGTGTGCGTTTACATAAGTGTGGGGGCGGGGCTGTGTTCATAGAGAAGGCTCAAGTGTTCACCCCCAACACACATGAGCTGTACCATCAGGGCTAGGAGTTCAGGGTGCCTAGATGTCAGGTTCTTTTTCAAAGTGGGGAGGAGGGTTGGAAAAGTGACCACACTCCTCCTCCCAGGCCAGAGCTGGGGTTGGTGGGTGATTGGGTGGGGAATCCCAAAAGATGAATGCAATCACATTCCCCTGTTAGTAAGAGACCTGGAGGAATGAAGTGCCATTGGCATGGGCTAGCCTTTTCTCCTCCGATTCGGAAGCCACCTGGGACTGAATGCTCTGTGGATGGATTGACTTGAGACAAGTCTTGCCTCCGGAGTTCCTCTTGATCCTGGATGGTACCTTGGTGTGTCTACCTCTGTGACTGTCCTCCATCTTGTAAGACAAGCTGGGGAATTCAGAAGAGGAGGGTGGTGCGGGGAGGCCTGTGGCAGGTGGAGGCAGGCCATTGACTGCTCTGCTTCTGGAATGTGTGCGAGCAGTATAGAACCACACACTTTAACACAGCCATTGAGGGCTTCTCTCACTCCTCAGTGTGGTATTCCAAGTCTTCCCACAATGGAAGTTAGGCAGGGTAGCCCTAGCAGATACCAGCTCCAGCCTTGAGTTGTTCTGTTAATTCCGATGTCTAACTCAACCTTATAGGAGGGCTGGGCAACCAAGGCTCCAACTCTCTTAAAAGGATTCAGCTGTATCCACAGATTTGGGGCCATTATGCCTGGAGAAAGCCCCTGTGTGGTTGGCTCCTCTTGGGTTGGGGATGATGCGGACAGAACAGAAGAGAAAGTGGGGTAAGGAGATAGAGTCAAGTGTGAAACAGCTTGCTCCAAGAAACCCCTGTCCTCCACTGCAACTGCAGCCCCCCAGCCATTTTTTCTAATGGCTGGTTCAGGGAGGCTAAATGGAATTGGATCCAGAAGCAATGGAGGCTTCTTTGTGGTCTGCCCTTTAGGGGAACCAACGGCCACAATCTGCCTCCTCACCTTGGTGTGAAAAAACACGCTCGGCCAGCAGGTGGCAGTATCTTCTTGGACCCCCAAAGAAGAAAGAAATCAAGGTATTCCCAGAAAGGAGCCAATAACCCACCATTCCTTAAAGACCCAGGTGTCACTCAGTCCTTAAAGATCCTGCTGGAAGTGTCACCCCTCCCCTTCAACAGGAAGAACTCCTTCTGACCACTCCTTAGGAGGTAATTCTTGCCTGAGCCTGTTGAGACTTCTGAAGAGCTAAGCAGGCTTCCTGGCTCCTCCACAGCCTTGGTAGGGATTTTAGTCTTTGTGTTCTCAGGGCTAACTGGTTGGGTTTGCTTTCTCTGCTGGGGTTGGATTCCTGAGGGTGTGGGTAAGTGCTCTTCCCCGAGCTGGGACCTACTGGGATGAGTAACTGGGACCGGGAAGCACAACGAGATGCAGGGCAGGGTAAAGGGAAGGCGCATCCGTATCCATCCCTCTGATCTTCTTCTCCCTCACTTGTTTTCTGAGCCAGCGGACGGTTCTTTCATCCTTCGATGCCTAAAGTGAGCTCCGGCTGAACTGATCGCGGTTAGACGTGGGTATAACATGACAAAGACTGGATAATCACAACCTTGAGCAAACGTACACGTGTGCATGTAGGGAAGAGAACCCAGCTGCCCCCTTGAGAGCGGGACAGTTATGGCTGAGGGAAGGTGGAGCTCACAGCAGTGGTCAAGAACAGGCGCCCATTGGCCCCTATGTAGCCTAAGGACACAGGGGGAAGTGGTCTCTATCCAACTAGGACACCCCCTGCCTTGTCTCCAGGGTCCAAAGAAGACAGGAATAAAGATGTCAATCATTGTGCTGCTGTTATTAACCAGAGTGCAATTAATCCACCCATTGTGGATTTGGAAGCCACAGTGTAAATGAGAAGGTTTCACCCAGAAACACTCTGAGAGTTGTTGAGCACAGAATGGCCAGGTCCCGGGTGAGGGAGGGTGACAGAAGGCAGAAGACATTGATGTTCCATCGCCACGTGTCCAACAAGGACTTGAGAGGAAGGGTGCTTCCGGCCAAGGCTGCTGGCCTGACCTGGTGTGGGAGCCCCTGACTGCCTTCCCAACTCATCCGTCTTAGCTCCAAGTCCAGCTCCTGATAAGTAGGCGAGAGCTGGAGCAGACCCGCAGCTGACTTCTGCATGGGGAATGATGCCAATGGAAGACTAAAAAGGGGCTGGGATGCCCCATCCTTCATGAGTTTATCTCGTGACACTCAGACTAGCTCAGAGGTGGGAAAGGGCAACAACCCCCTCCACTTGGGTGACAACGGCCCCACCCCCACCCCAGGAGGTAGGTGTGCCTTTCTGAGCACTGGTTGAGGATTCCCCATAGGCCACCACTAGGGGTGGAGTCAGCTGTGCTCTCCGGGATTGGTAGGTTAGGGGGCAGAGGGAGGTCATCGAGAGCGCTAGGGCTTGGCCCCACTGGCTCTTAACAAGAGTTGGAGGACATAGTCTGAACTGCTTTGATGAGACTATTCCTCGTGTCCGGAGTGGAGTGATGCTGTCCAGGCAAGGGCACTGCTCGGGCCAGCTAGGATTCAGAGACATAGAGCGCCTCTACGGCATCACTCAGACCCTGGCTGACACCCCCCACAGCCAGCAGGCAGTTCTTGAAGACAATGCTGGAGCAGGCACAGCGGGGTGTGGGCATGGCAGGGAGGGCCTCCCACTTGTTCTTCTCTGGGTGGAATGCTTCTGCTGTCTCCAGCACAGTGGGCTGGTTGCCTGAAAACAACAGGGGAGTCAGATCTTAGACCAAGGAGCCCAACCACCAAGCATGCCCCTCAGTGACCATCTCCCAACCCTGAAGTAAAAGCCAAGCAACTGCATTATCTTTTGCTACAGGATGGCCCTCGTTGTACTATCCTGGGCCAAGAATTTCTGTCAAGCAACTTTGTCCTATGTCCCTTCTCTGCCCTTTCATTTTAAGAATAGGATTGTTGGCAGTGCATGCCTTAAATAATCCCAGCACTCGGGAGGCAGAGGCAGGAGGATCTCTGTGAGTTTGAGGCCAGCCTGGTCTACAGAGCGAGTTCCAGGACAGCTAGAGCTACACGGAAAAACCCTGTCTTGGGGGAAAAGAAAAAAGAAAAAAAAGAGGATTGTTTTCTTCACCCTCAGTTATCAGGGGCTGTCTAGAACACTGCTGCTTCCTTCCCTCCTGGTTTTCCACACACACAGGAAGCTTCTCCCATAATCTAGCTCATAGGGATGCTCAAGAATTAGTACAGTGGGGGTGTGTCTACACTGAGTAAACTCTGGCTGCCTGAGAGGCCCACTGCCTTTATCACTGTGCCCTACGACTTCGGTGTACCCCAAGCCCCAGACCAGCCTTCAAAACACTGGCAGTCCTTGAGAAGGAGGAGTTTTACATCATTCAAGTCCAGAAGTAAGACCATTCATTTGATCGCTTGCTTTGCTATCCCAGGATACTCCTGGATGTCCAAGGAGAGCTAGGTCCATGAAGGATGACACTGATCCCTTTACCCTTTGTCTCCAGCTGTCCCCAGAAAGGGACTCAGAGACCTGGGTTCGGCATAGGGGCTCACAGTTACCAGTATGTTCCCTGTTATTCCTAGATCTCCACTTTCCTAGTTCAGGATGAAAAGAACACATATGGGGCCACGTGGAAAGGTCAAGTCCAGACTGTATTGAATTCTTTGGCATAGATCAGTGGGAGGTGTGTAAGAAGTCACTCCAGGGCAGTGCCGAGGACCAGAACCACAACACAGAACAGCTGAGATGATCCATCCTTACCAAGTCCCCCAGCCACTATGACCCGTCCACTCAGACCACCGGCCACGAAGTCTGCCCGGCGCTTCTTGAGGAAGAATGAGCGTTCCATCTTCAGCCATCCCCCTGCAAGTCATGCATAGTGATGGCAGAGACAGAGGGTCAGGTGCTGATGTCCCCTAACAAACACAGATGAATCCCAAGTGACTCTTATCCTGCATGGCTACTCCCTTGTGCTTAAGGTGCAGAGAGCGTCCCCTGCTGATTGAAATGACACTCTCTACCACCTCAGCCTTCTCTGGTGCTTGGCACAGTCTAACATATACAACTCCCATGAGCCCCTGTTCTATTTAAGTTTTCCACAGTTCTAAACTTGGGAGGAATCTGACTAAAGGTAGTGAACAGAGTGGTAAGTATCCCTCTGACTCTCCATCAGGACAGGAAGAATCCTTTCCTCACCTGGTCCTGCACAGATACCCGGGGAGGAGGAGGAACGGCTATCATGAAAACAGCCAACCAGACCAAAGGGTGCCTTAGAATTTGACTCCAAGCATATCCATGAGTTAGGAAGGCTTCTTACACACTGGAGAGACCTGCCTGGATATGTGAACAGCCCCAGGAAGATTTCCAGGATGGGGAAAGTGGGGATCAGTCAGAAGAGAGACAAGCAGCTAAGAGGGTGGGGACCCAGCTCACCCTGTTCCATGTCGAAAACATCCATTGTCCGGAGGAACTTGGGCTGCCGATAGAGACGACCCTGTCGCAGGCCTCCCAGGCTGTACAGGTGGTTGTCCAGGGTCACAAAGCTGGAGAAAGCCCGCTTGCAGGGAATGTTGGGGAACTTGGTCCAGGACCGAGACTCTATGTCAAAGACCTCGAAGGCATTGACTGCATATTTACACTGTCGTCCCCCTGGAGGTGGGAGCAGGGTACATGGTGGACAAAAAAAAAAAAAAAAAAAAAGCAGTCCCCGAGAACCGATAGGGCCGGGATTTCCCTTCTGTTATTCAGTTATTTGAAAGATTCCTCAGGGGCTGCAACAGTGTGGTTATCCCCCAGGGCCAGGGGAATTCTCAGGCTGTGGGCGATGCTTCCTAGGGAACTCACCCCAGGGAGCCAGGAGAGGAAATGAACAACAAGTAGCTTGTCCTTACCCAGCACATAGATCTTGGAGCCCCGGAGGAAGGAGGTGGCAGCGTATCTTGGAGTGGGCATGGGTGCCAGTGACACCCACATGTCCTTTAGCATGTCATAGTGCTGCAAGTAGTTGTGTGGACGAAGGTCCAGGCCCATGCCACCTGCAGCATACACTCTATAATCTAAGAAGAAAGCCACACACAGATATGGTTCGGCTCCAAGGCACCCAGAGACAGGTCCAACGGAATCCATAACCTTATATAGGCCACTCAGAGTTCCTGGCCACTGCTCTGCTAGGAAATCGCAGCTGTTTTGGTGGAGTGGGTAGCACCATTCAAAGTGCCCGTTATGGTTAAATCTGGGTCTTCCTGAAGCTGTAGCAATACGGTGTGCCTCGGCCCTCCTTAGTGCCAAGTCCTTGGCAAAGCCTGATACACTAAATCCTGCACAGAGACAGGTGGCAGTGAAGCCTAGGTCCCCCGCCGTCCTCCTGTCCTCCTTTATAGGCAGCCAGAGAGGAAGGTGAGGGGAGAGACTTTTGTGATGAACTCCAATAATGACCTGTCCCATAGGATCCCACAGGAATTATCTGACATTAATTCTTCAGACGTGGTGAAGTCCTTCAGAACTATAGTCAGCCCCATTATCACTGGGCCTCTACATACTTGGCTATCAGTGGTTCTGTCTGCTACCCCCGTGGGGAAATGGCATTCTCCTCCACATGTACAGAAGCTTGAAGAATCCAGGAGGCCCCTGTGCATTCTCCTCCACATGTACAGAAGCTTGAAGAATCCAGGAGGCCCCTGTGCTGAATGGGCTGATGAGGCCAGGTCTGAATGAGGAGGAGGCTTTGGGAAACTGGACCTTCAGGAACCTTGCCCTTAGAGAGCTACGTTCTCTAAGCAGGGTGTCTCCTCCTTTTTCCTGTGCTCTGGGCTGTGGGTAGCTTTTCAGGGGCTCCACACACCGTGTCAGAGAGCATGGACTAACACTTGTTCCCCCTGCCCTTGCCTGAATGGGATTTCTCTCAGGAATCTTCAGTTCCTGGGTGTGGTTCTTGTTCCCAGCAGCCTTTGCTCACAGCCTTCCTCTCTATGGTGCTTTGACAATTGGAGGTTACTACTACAGAAAGGGAGCCCTGTTTCCCTTTGCTTTCTAGCCATACTGAAGTTGGGGGTGGATCCTAGCCCTAAGCCCAAGACTTGGAAAGGACTTGATGATGAGCACCTGATTAGCACAATTCCACCTTCCTTCTAGGAACACCCCTCCTGAATAAACTATCTAGGAACACCCCTCCTGAATAAACTCTCCACTCCACAGTCATTCAGCCAGTGGTCAGTTCTGAGCTGCAAAGCAGGAGGCCCAGAGGACTTGGCTTGGTGCCTCTTGAGTGATGGTATCTCCATTGCTCCATTACTACAAGTAACTAATACCAGCTCGAGCTGTTTCTCCCAATACACTGAATCTATGAGCCCAGCACAATGGCTGACATGTAAACGTTTACCAACCCATTGTTGAACCCATTTGACTTTATAGCTGGAACACAGGCATGGTCTTGACTTACTATCTGTTTAACCTTGGGGAATTAACCTTTCTGGGATTCATGCTGTCTCTTCTAAAATAGACTAAAAATAGCACTTATCTCACTGGATATATTGAAATTCCAAAGGGATAATACACCAATGGTAAGCCTTAATTTTTTAGCTTTCAGCATAATTTATTGAAGAAGCTAGGGATGCAGCATACTCTAAACTTATTATCCTCAGTGTCTCCATGGGCCTCTGGACCTTCCAACTTTTTTTTAATGGGGTCTTACTATGTAGTTTACATTGCCCTTGAACTCATGATCCTTCTGCCTCAGCCTCCAGAGTAGCTAGGATTACAGGCCCTCAGCACCAGGCCTGGCTAGTCATACTTCTAACTGGCAGGTCATGAAAACCCTTTGTCTATCCTTTCCAAGGGGACTCTGGTTCCAGCTTCTTGCCAGTCCCTTTCAGGGTCCAGATTTTCTACCCGGTTCCTTCCTCCCTGTGGCCTAAGACTGTGCCAGGGACAGAGCAGGTGTTGAAGAAAAGCTGGTTTTTGATCTGCCATATGCCAGACAGGCAGCTGGGGTGGTGTAGCAAGAGAAACAGGGAAGGATGGGGAAAGGAAGGAAGGTCACCCTACCAAGACTACAGTGTGGAGACAAATGTACATGAATTCGGGGTCTCTTAACTCGAATCCTCATAAAACTCTATGTTTTAACAAAACGCCCGTTGGACCCCTCTATAGACTGTATTGGGCCCCAAAAGAGTGAAATGAGGACTTTGAGAAAGTGAAACAAGGGTTTTAAAACCACATGCAAGTCAGAGAACTTGATGGATAATAGGCTACACGAATCAACCTTTGGAACATTCTGACCTCCACTTAGTATGACTGAAACTGCAGTCAGGAGTTAGAAGATCCCAGGATCTGGTCCCAAAGCCTCCTTGGCAGACCTGGTGAAGATAGGATGGAATGACTGTCCTCAGGAACCCACAGAGGTAGGTTTGGGTGTGTGTGTGACCATTGGGAAATGTGGCCATTCGGCTGAATGCCAGGGTCTGCAGACTCATTGCAGATAACCCCATAGCTTACACCTTGGCTCTCCCTCTGCAGTGGCCTGCCCAGCCTGGCGGGAGGAACCCGCTGGAGCTGACTGACTCCTGGCATCAGATGGAATTCCTAGACATTTCACCTGCTCAGTCTCCCTTCCCAATAAGGGAATAAGGGCAGTGGGCCTCCAGTTTTATTGCTTAATGTAAGGTTCAAATGTGATAGGTGATGTGCTATTGGCCTCCCAAATCATGTGGCATTTCCTCCGTTTTCCCCGTGACCCTTTACTTTCTTCTCTATGCCCTCCCTCAACCCTGGCCCCACTTGCCTTTGGCTGTAACAGAAATGCCCATGGCAGCCTCACGCAGCACGCTCCTCTTCTTCCACTTGCCCTCATCGATATTGTACATTTCCACGACCTTCAGAGGCTGCTGATTGGTGCCCACACCCCCGATCACCATAATCCGCTTTCCTAGGGCAGTAACCGCTACCCCGGCCCTGGCTGTGGGCAGGGAGGGCAGGGAGGTCCATTGGTCGGCCTCAGGGGAGTAGACCTCGAAGCAGTCCATGGGGACGCCGTTGTCATCACATCCCCCGATGGCATAGACCTGCCCCCCGGTCTCCAACAGTGAGCAGTAGACCCGGCGGCTAGGCAGTGGAGCAAGGCGCTTCCACTGAAAGTCCTTGACATTAGGCACCTCCATGGCAGCCCAGGGGAGGGCCCTGCTCGCTCGCCCTCAAGTCCGGGCAAGGTCCAGCCCCGGGGCCCACCGGCTATTCGGCGCCGGCCCGCACGTCCCCTCTTGCAGCCTCCATCTCGCGTTGCGCGGGCTCCCGCCGACGCCCGCTGGCTTCTCCGGTCCCTCGGGTGTCAGCGGGGCGGCGACGTCCACCCCTGGCTCCGCGGGAAGAACCCGGCGAATCTAGGGCAGCAGGGCGCCGGCGGTAGCCTGCCCTGGGTCAACTTTGCAGGATGCGCCCCGCCCCGCCCGGTCCCCGGGAGCGCAGAGCCCACCCCGCCGCGCGTGGGCGCCGCGCTCGCCCCCCACTAGCTCCCGGGCGGTGCCCGCAGCCACGCGCGGCTTTCACCGCCAGCCCGGCAGCCGCGGAGCGGGGGGAGGAGGGGACAGCTTGCCCTGCCCTTCCCGGCCCGCACGCCGCTGTCACCCGAGCAGGGAGCGGCTGCTAAGACTGTTAGCCCGGGCCGAAAAATACCGGTTCCCCGCACCGCCTCCCCGCAGCCGCCACACCTGGGCAGGAGCCCACGCGCCCCGCGGCGGAGGCTGTGGCCTGTACGTTAGCCCCGGCAACCGGGGCGGGCGAGGGCAGGGCCTGCCGTGCCTCCAGGGTCGGAGGCAGCCAGAGCAGAAGCCGGTGCCCAGATGACAGGTTGATCCCGCCAGCGTGGGGGCGGGCGTTTGCGAGTGTTTGTTTTGGGTGAGGAGGCGGAGAGCCCAATTACCCAGTTTGTCTACAGTACACAGACCCAGTTCGTGACAGGCTGGCTTTGTTTTGGGGGAGGTATTCTCACACGGTCAAACCTCTCAGAGCCGAGTTAGGAGGCAGTGACACACATGCAGCGGGAACCAACAGATCAAACAATCTGCACGAGTATGCATGTAACTCACACAGAACCTTCCTTCCCTCCTGAGTAGACACGTCCACAAAACCTCAGATAAAGTCACAGAGAGGAGAACCACACTGAACACACCAATAGACGGTCTGGCAGGACCCCCCTCAAAAAAATCTTCACACACCTCTAGAAGGGCAAATATGGTTAGCACCAACCACAGGACAGGATAGATGACCTCTTCAAACCTCTACCCAGCAACAGACCCTTCATAACTGTGGTCCCCAGTAATACAAGTGCCAATGACACACACGGGACCACCTAGTGGTGTGTCTCTCCAAGCCCACAGGGTCCTTCTATCTGACTTCCTTCCACCTGGAAGCTTGGGAGCCTAACAGACTTTCCATTGTGTGTGTGCACACGTGGTGTGGTGTATATTTTCCCCCAGTGCTGGGTCTGGAACTCAGGACTGTGCACATTCGAGACACTAAACTTTAATTTGTGATAAACCGTAGATTCACACGTGGTTATAAGGGAGGAGCTCTCTTTATCAGGTGTCTCTCAGTACTAATATCCTACCAAGCTAAAGTACAATTCACAAGCAGAATACATTTTCACTATTACAAGGGTCCCATGTCACCTTTTGATATCTGGTATAACTCCATACTTCTTGCTCCTCCCTCCCCAACCCCTGACAATCCATTTCTGAAATCTTGTCTCTTCAGCCGTGTTGTACAAGGAGTAGCTCCTATTTACTGGGACTGTAGCTCACTTGGTGAAGTGTTTGCCTAGCAAGCACAAAAACCTGGACCCCATATGACCCAGCACTACATGAAACCTGGTGCCTGGCACAGTGACATAAAACCTAGTGATGTATGTCCAAAATCACAGCACTTGAGAGGTGGAGATAAGATGATTAGTAATTCAAGGTCACCCTTGCTATATGTCGTGGTCCAGGCTGGAAGGAAAAGAATGTTACATGATAAAATCATACAGTATGTAACCTTTCAGAGTTCCCACCCCCAAACCGGCTCTTGGATTATCATTATCCAAGTTGTTAAAAAGGTCTCTCCCTCCCTCCGCCCCCCTCCCACCCACTTCAGTTTTTCTGAAACATGGTCTCACTATGTCTGGAACTCATGATCTTCCTGCTATAGCTTCCAAATGCCAGGACTGAAGACCTGCCTGTGCCATCAAGCCCAGTTCTTTTCGTTTCGAGGCAGGGTCTCTGAATGTAGGCCTGGCTGTCCTGGAACTCTCTGTATAAACCAGGCTGGCCTCAAATTCACAGAGATGCACCTGCCTCTACCTCCTAAGTGCTGAGATGAAAGTTGTGTGCCTCTATATCAGGCTTTTTGCTCCTTTATTTCTTTACAGCATTCCATGGTATAGGTCTTTGTGAAGGTTAGAAGAGGTAATACTTGTCAAGTGTTCACCATACGTTCTGACAGGGAGCATGGGCCGGGTACGTTTCTGTCAGTGCCCATACTGCTACTGCAACTTCTGTGGAAACAGAAGATGTAACTCAAAATAGGCCTATCTTACTATCTTGAGCTCTTGACCTAACAATTCTACTGTTTTTAAAGCTTAGATTCACGTATTTGCAAAATCAACATCTAGATCATCCGCGGAAAGAGGCTGTGTTCTGTTTTTCCCTATTTGGTAAGAACTCACAAATTGTAAGAGTGTAGTCTAAATTAATGAAGTTTCACAGACAATGGCAATCATTTCCTGTTCTTGTAAAAGGCCTCCAGACCTTATAACAACTGACATTATGATGGAAGTACCATTCAGGCCTTGGAACCCAGCATATAGGCAGCACCACCTACCAAAAAACGAGAACAAAGACCTATTCCATCAAAGTCCACAGTTCTGGGAAAGTCCCTAAGTGCACTAACCTTGCTTTTTGGCTTCGTAGCTCCACTTCTGGCTAACTATTCTTGGTAAATGAGATACACCAACTGGGGATGTGGTTTTTGTGCTTAAAAGCCCTCCCTGAGAAAGGCTCAGGACTACCCTCAGGTCCTGAACACCCCAGTGTTGTAGCCAGCTGGCCAATAAAGACTTTCTGTTAGCTTGAAGCCCTGCCTGTGCAGTCTTCTCTGGTGGGTACCCCATAACATTCTTAGGGTCCTCACCTGCCCAGAGGAATGTGGAATGGACTCTTACTTTGAACTGAGTCGATTTCACAGCTGTAGTTTGGGGTAAGGATGAATGGAAGCCACTGTCTTCTCAAATGGGCTTCTTGGGATCTGCCTTCAGCCTGGCTTGCCTGTGAGCCTTCAGAGCCTTCACCGAAGCAGCAAAGCCAAGCAACTTCTCACACTCTCCCAGCAGGTGGGCAGACTTCCCAGAGCTCAGCCCTTGCACATCCAAGTTCTCATACTCTTCAGCTGGAGGGAGACTGCCAAGCAGTGTTTTGCAGAGGAGAGTCTGACACCCAGGGAGTGCTTCACTTAGAGCTGGCAACTCATTCAGAAGACTGGGTTGAAGAGTCCAAATCACAAATGAACAAACCCTGCATTAGCCAGGAGGCTGGGCGTTTCCGTTCTCACCTGGCTTCTGATCATTTGTCCAATTGCATCGAGGGAAGGTGCCTAGAGCCCAAAGGGGTCCCAGTGATTGTTGAGGGTCTCACCTGGGGAGACACCAGAGTTCAGTTCTGGACAGCCCTGTTGCAGCACAGTGCTCACATCCATTGGCTTTACTCTGTGCAAACCATAGGGGTCAAGAGACTTGGCCATGGAAATATAGGGGAAAAAATCAGTTTGTCTGCAGGCTATGCCCAATTGCTAATTCTGGAAGTCTGACTTATTTCTTTTCCCTCTCTCCTTCCCTCATTGCTCTTCCTCCCAGTCAGGTAGCATCCCTTAGTCTTTACATCGAGGCACATTAAAGAAGCTTGTAACCTAGCAACCACCACTTAAGATTCCCTGAGTCACCTGCAGTTTCCACGCCTGGGCTGACTGCATCAGGCCTGGGCTGAGGAGTGCCAAACCCAGAGGGAGTCAGTGTGTCCTCTGATTTCTCACCACCCTTTTCGGGTGTGGAGTCATTCTCCCAATCAGAAGTTCTTCCTCAGGTCAAACCTAAATCATTCTTGCTGGAAGATCTTGCATAGCACCTGGCATGAGTTTCTGTTCTCTCTTAAAGTGTTTATTGAGGGTTGGGAGAAGAGATGGCTCAGTGAATAAAGGTACTTACCTAACAACCTGAGTCTCTCTAGAATCCACATGGTAAAAGGAGAGAACCAACTCTCACAGGTTTTCTACATGCACACAAGGCCATGCAGTGGGCACACACACACATGCACACACACACGCACATGCACATGCACACTAAATAAATAAACTATTAACTAACTCTAAAGTTTTTGACTGGGATGCCTAGTAGAGAATATCCTTAACATAACCAATGCCCTAGGCCATCTTCCCAGTACCAAAGCAAACACACAGAGTTTGATTTTTAGGTATGGGGAGAGGAGGAAAGGGAGAGAGATATCGCAAATGCCCCCATAGAGGTCTGTGGTACTGTGGACTTGTGTTATTGTGATACTGAAGTCTCTCTTTAAAAAAAAATCATGTATAGTGTTCTGCCTGCTTGTATCCCTGGAGGTAGGAGGGCAGCAGATCTCATTGCAGATGGTTATGACCCACCATGGGGTTGCTGGAAATTGAACTCAGGACCTCTGTAAGAACAGCCAGTGCACCAGGCGTTGGTGGCGCATGCCTTTAATCCCAGCACTTGGGAGGCAGAGGCAGGCGGATCTCTGTGAGTTCAAGGCCAGCCTGGTCTACAAGAGCAAGTTCCAGGACAGCCTCCAAAGCCACAGAGAAACCCTGTCTCGAAAAACCAAAAAAAAAAAAAAAAGAACAGCCAGTGCTCTTAACCCCCCCCCCCATGGTACTAACGTCTTAATCAAACTTGGAGGTGCTTAGCTCGAAAAACAAAAAACAAAAAACCAAAAAAAAAAAAAAAAAAGAACAGCCCGTGCTCTTAACCCCTGAGCCATCCCCCCGCCCCATGGTACTAACGTCTTAATCAAACTTGGAGGTGCTTAGCCCCAGACAGACAATCACTTTGTGAAAAGTTCCTACCTTGTATGTGTCAAGGTCTACTGTCATACAATGACCAGCAGGTGCAATTTGGCTGAGCACCTACTAAGTGCCTGTCCAGTTTCCCCTGGAAGCCAGCCTGTTATGAGGAAGCAGTGAGTGGAGACACAGTATAGAATACCAAGCATCCTCTCAGGAGTAGTGACCGGCTGACGGAGCGTACATGCGTGCATTCTGTGGGACTGATGGAGTCCCAGAGCAGGGTATATTTTGAGGAGACGTCCTAACCTCCTTCCCCAGCAACATGTGTTACCATGCTGCCGGCAGGTTCTGTATAAAGGAGCAGTTCTTCCTTCTGAGATAGTGTCTCTACCTC